CGCCAGCCAGAGGCCCCAATAGTTTTGAGTCTTTATCTCTCTTGCATGATTAATCCATGTGGAATTTGTTTTGCTATGTGTTGGGAGTGGAGTTAACTTTTTTCTTCCGAATGCAATTGAGGCCACGACCTGACTTATCCTCTCCCTGCCCACTGAAAATTCCACATTTATCAAGTATTAAATTCTTGATGCATAAAATTCACAAATCAACTTAAAAATTTTTTAATGTTTATTCATTTTTGAGAGACAGAGCATGAGCAGGGGAGGGGCACAGAGAGAGCGCGACCCAGAATCTGCAGCAGGCTCCAGGCTCCGAGCTGTCAGCACAGAGCCCAACGCGGGGCTCAAACTCCCAAACCACGAGATCATGACCTGAGCTGAAGTTGGACACTCAACCAACTGAACCACCCAGGCGCCCCCGCAAGTTAACTTTTTAAATACTAGAAAACTCTGGGGCACCTGGGTGGCGCAGTCGGTTGAGCGTCCGACTTCAGCCAGGTCACGATCTCGAGGTCTGGGAGTTCGAGCCCCGTGTCAGGCTCTGGGCTGATGGCTCAGAGCCTGGAGCCTGTTTCTGATTCTGTGTCTCCCTCTCTCTCTGCCCCTCCCCCGTTCATGCTCTGTCTCTGTTGCAAAAATAAATAAACATTGAAAAAAAAAATTAAAAAAAAATAAAATAAATAAATAAATACTAGAAAACTCTAAGCTACATTTCTACTTTCAGTCTTAGCTACCTATACATGGTTTGTTCATTCAACAAACACTAACTGAGTGCCAGGTGCTACTTTGGGCCCTAGATACAGTTATGAACAGAACAGATATAAACCCCTGCCCTTGTGCTGTGAACAGCAAGGGAGCAGACAATAAACAAGCAATATGTAAATGTGCGACGTGCCAAGTAGTGATAAAAAACAAAATAAAACAGGGTGATGGGACAGAGGGAAAAGGGATGCTGTTTTGGATAGGATGGTCAGAGAAAGCCTCTCTGAGGAGGGGATGACTGAGCAGAGGCCTGCGTGAAGTAGAGCCACATGGACATCTCTGGGAAGAGATTTCTAGGCGGAGGGAACAGCCAGTGCAAAGGTCCTGAGATGAGACCATGCCTGGTGAGTTTGTGTATAGCTAGTGAGGCCAGGGAGGCTGAAACAAACAAGTGAAGGGGAGAGAACAAGGAGGCGGGGCTGAGCACAGAGGGCCTTTTAGATGATGGTGAAGAGTTGGGGTTTTCCTCCGAGTGAGGCAGGAGCCATGGAAGGTTCTGGACAGAGAGAGAGACATACCCTGACTCAGATGTTCACAGACTCCTCTGGTTGCTATGGGCGGAACAGACAGGAGGGTGAGGGGAAGGCTGGGAGCTGGGAGAGTTGGGTGGAGATGCCTGCACTGGTGACAAGGGTGGGGGTAAGAAGTGGTTGGATTCTGAAGATTCTGATGGCAGAGCTGGTGTGAAGGAAAGAGAGGCGTCCCAGGCTTCTGGTCTGAGCACTTGGGAAGATGAAGCTGCCTTTTCTGAGCCGGGGCTGGTCGGGGACCATCAGGGGCTTGGGTGTGACTATGCTGAGTGTGAGACGCCCGTGAGACCCCCAAGAGACAGGTGTCACCGGGGTGTGCAGTTCAGGGGACCGACATTTGGGAATCATCAGGGTGGAGCTGGTGGTTGAAGTCCTGAGTCTGCAGGAGTGTCCCCAAGGGACCAAGCATAGCTGGGAAGAGGCTGGAGCCTTTTTTTGTCCACTGCTTGGACTGGGTGGGTGGGACCAGCCAGCCTTGGGGTTGGCAGGAACCACAGGAACCACAGCATTTCTCTGGGAGGCCTGGTCACCCTAGGGCATGGCTTGGAGCCTTGAACCTCTCCTGTTTGCTGAAGCCTGTGGGCCAGGGGTCAGGTGGGGCTTCCACAGCTGGAGGCCCCTGGGGGGAAGGTACATTCCTTTAGGGACAAGCTGAGTTAGTGACCAGAGCCCTGCCAGGGAATGCTTGGCTCTGAGGTAGCAGCTACAATTATCGAGCACCAACTGCATATGACCACACTATATAACCCCGTTGCTGACTGTATGCCTCATACTGAATGTGTGTTCCTGCTAATCTACTGCACCAAACGTATAATCCACTATACTGTAAAGTGTACAGCTGGCCTCAAAGAGAGCTCTTGGGCAGGGCGGGGGGGCGGGTACAGAGAGAACAGGCACATGACTGAGGGAGTATACAGTTGGCTTGGGGAGTGGATGGTTGGTGTGGGGGTGTATAATATAGCCAGCTGACTGTACACCCCATACTGGCTGCACAACCCTTTGCTGACTATATTCCTTGCACCAGCTGTATACCCCCACCCCTGCTGTGTACCCCACACTGATCAAATACCCCCATGGCAACTGTATACCTCTTTGTTGGCTGTATGCTTCCACACCAACTGTATAACGCCAGGCTGTATGCCCCCTACTGGCGGTCCCTCCATACCTACTGTATACCTCCACATCAGTTAAACACCCTTACGCTAACTGTAGAACGTCCATGCCAACTGTATACCTCCTGGTATCCTGTGATTGGTCTTTGACCGGTTTTGGTTTTATACTTTCAGCCCCAATTCACAGTTGAGGCTGCTCAGGGCAGGCAAGATACTGGCTGAACTGCCCTGCGGCTTGGACGGGACAGAAGGAGCATTTGAATCTAGGGCCATGAGGTTAGAAGGGGAGCTTCACAAGAACAGACGCACAAGACTGGGCTCCCATTTGCTATTGTATATACTCAGCGCCCAGCCCTGGGCCTGCACCCAGTAGGCGCTGAATAAATACTTGTTCTACCGAACACTGGCTTCAGGATTCACAGTCGGGATGTGCGCTGGGATGGTGAGCTCAGGTGTATAGCCCTGGGGGCCACAAAGGGCAGTGCCAGGCAGGGATGTGGCATCTGGGCTGCAGGTCCCATTTTGCCAGTCTTCAGAAGACCGGCGATATGGATTTTTATATGGAGTTTCCCAAACGTTTAACTGTTGGCATTTCTTTCTTTTTTTTT